CCTTCTCTGAACTCTCTAAGGTATCAATATCCTTCTGAAGATACGGTCTCCAGTACTGTGTACAATACTCCAAGTGAGGTCTCACCAGTGTTCTGTACAATGGCATGAGCACTTCCCTCTTTCTACTGCTAATTCCTCTCCCTATACAACCAAGCATTCTGCTAGCATTTCCTGCTGCTCTATTACATTGTCTGCCTACCTTTAAGTCATCTGAAATATTTAACCCTAAATCCCTTTCCACGATGTTTAGGTTAGTAGGGTATCAAGTATATCAATATGTGAATTGCCACAGCTCTGACCATTTTTCTAATTTACCTAAATCATTTGCCATTTGAGTTATGCCTCCTGGAACATCAACCCTGTTGCAAATTTTAGTATCATCATCATTTAGTATCCATCAAGACCTAATAAAAATATTAAAGAGAATGGGTCCAAGTACAGATCCCTGAGGTACCCCACTGGTAACTAGAGATCATGTAGCTTAAAGGGACAGTGTAGTCACCAGCTTAAAGGGACAGTGTAGTCACCAAAATGTTAGCTTAATGAAACAGTTTTGGTGTATAGATACTGCCTCTGAAGTTTCACGGCTCAATTTGCTGAAACGTAGGGATGTTTCTGTTCTTGCAGCCCTACCCACACCTTTCGTGGTTATGACTGACACAACCTGCATGAAAGGAAAATTGTTTAATTTTCAATCAGATGTAACTTACTTTTAAGGTTTTTATCTCATGCTTTGTAAATTGAACTTTAATTACATACAGGTGGCTCCTGCATGGGCTAGCAAGCTATTAACAGAGCTGGAGATAAGAAATTCTAAGTTAAAAAGAATTTGCAATGAAGAAAGTGTAAACATTAGATGACTCTTTACAGGAAGTGTTTGGGAAGACTGTGAAAGTCACATGCAGGGAGGTGTGCCTAGGGCTGTATAAACAAAGTGATTTAACTAAAAAATGGCAGTAAATTGAGGAGCGAGACTGCAGGCACATAATCTATACACCAAAACTGCTTCTTTAAGCTAAATTTATTTTAGTGACTATAGTGTCCCTTTAAAGGACCTAAAGTTTGAGCCCTACAGTTTTTACTATTGGGAGATGTTTATGTCAGATCTTGGTGATATCCAAATAATCAGCACTAAAGCGGGAACAAAAAAAAAGTATCTTTGTTGTATAAATTTTTCCTATTTCTAGGAGACTTGTCAGATGTTAGTGTCTCTATGATCTTGGAGACGGAGGTTATAAATCTGACCTCATAATAGAGTCTATAACATAACCGGGAAACTTTCCAAGGAATCTCTTCTTATGGAATCTGATGAACCTCCTAGAAATAGGAAGAATTTAGGAAAAAACCACAGGGAACACTGTAAAAAGGTACACTAACAATCTAACTCCTTCTCAATGAGCTGAACTAGGTCTCAATAGGAAAACATGCGCACACTGGTAGCTCCTGCACAGAAGCTTCTAAGTGAGTATTCCCTTTCACAGAATTAGGGCTTGCAGAAAAAAATGCAGAAAAAAAACAATAATTTCTTATTTTCTATGAGTGTATATTTACATTGTGTAAAAAATTCAGTGGAATGTTTCCATTTGGTATTTAGTTTCCATTTGTGAAACAATGGAACTGAATCACATGAAAGGGCAGCAAAATGGATCCTTGCCTAGGGCGGCCAAATTCCTTGCACCGGCCCTGGGTCTTTGCATCACCTGTGCCAGAATCCATGTTTTTTGCTAGTTACGGAGTCAGCACTGCAAGTTCGACCAATGGCTGAGACTGAGCATTGAACGAGGAAGGATTCCGCCAAGATTGTGCAATCCTCAATCCTGTATATTTAGATATCCAGGCAACACTTTTCATGCTCTGCTCATCAGCACAAATAAGTGATATGTATTCGGGAAAACAGCGGGTAAGATCAGGGCCTGTCGTGTCAATGAGAGTGGCATTGAGAGGAATAATATGTAGGTTATACAGAATATTTAAATTAAAGCCACTGTGGATCTGGGTGCAGTTTGGGAGCAAAAGGCAGAAGGTGAATGAGTCAACATTTAAATGTAATAAGCCCCATTTTGTCTGCCTGCTGATTGCATTGATCGGCAATAATTACACTATGTAAGAGACTGTCAGCATGGCATTAACTGTAAGGATTTGACGCCTGAAAACAGCATTTCATTAATCATTAGACCATAAATCTCTCCGACACGCCGTCTCAGCACTTTCAATGTATCTCTGATACACAATCGCCGGCCACTGGATCAAGAGCTCGGGAATCACCCGATTAAACAGAGTGCCCACCCACTTCACTCCTATACACATATCGACAGAGATTTATTAAAGTGTCTGTTCTAAATATGGCGCTAATATGTAAAAGGGGCAGAGTCACCAATGGAATATGCCAGCTATATGGGTCTTAATTTGTCCCGATTTCAGCCGGACCCAACAATGAAATTCGGACCCAGATGCTTCAAATCTTCCCAGATAAAAATGTGAGGGTTAATTACGTGGCATTTGGCCAGCACTTGTTAGCCTGCTGCCACATAAAATAGTTAAAGTTAGTAAAACTAAAAAGGCTGTGGGGTCCCCTAAACCCCCCATATTACTATAACAGATGTTTAACAATTCCCATATGGGAGTATATCTGCTTAATGTTTAAAACTAGCGACTTACCATTGCTGCTAAGTGGCTGTGGAGTAACAGGGGGGCATCGGGTGAGAGCCACAAAAATAAATAATGGGGGTTGGATGTATTAATGTCCACCCCCTGCTCTTACCTTTGGTCAGCAGCTATTATAATAATAGGGAAGGGAATCTAATGTTCTCCCCTGCCCCTTCCCATTGGTAGCAGACCGAATTAGGATATTAAACGGGGGAGGATGTAGTGTTCCTATTGAGATCAGTTATAGAAAATAAAGTTGGATACAGCTGATGGTGTTTGGGACAATGTGCAAACCACACTGCCCTAAGAGCTACAAGCCTCACTCTCTTCCAACCAATCTCTAGGTCCAGTTTTAATATATTGACTCCTCTGATTACACAATTATGATCATCAGCTCATAGTTCCTTCCTGCAGATGGAGCTCTTACAATATCCCAGGGATTTCTCCCTGATCTTTCATTCTCAACTACTCCTGCTTTGCTGACAGACTACAACTGCATTTAACAACTCCTTCCCCAATCTTTATAAAGCTGTTTATTAATGTTCCCATTCTTACTCTTTTTCCTTTCTATTTTTTCACTTTTTCAAAAAGTTCTCCTTTCCTTTCACCCTCTACCTGCAAATTACTTGACCTGCAATGCTCCTCTTATACCTCTTTCACCCCTTGTTTCATACCATGCCATCTCTTCACACGTCTGTTTGTTCTCTCCTCCCTTCTCTAAAACCCAATGTCCAACACAAACATTCAAGTCCATGTGAAGCATTTGTTGTGTTGAGCTAATTCAATTGATTTTATTTGACTTGTTCATTGCAAACAGCTGAAAGTCTGTACATTTTCACAATAAACCTGACTTTCAATGGGGGTTGAATAATTTTGATTATAACTGTATATCACTTCTCTTCCTCACTCCGGTCCCTCTCAAACTACCTCATGCTGCAATTCTGTCCTGTATACTGCTCTAGACACGGCTGCAGCAATACAAAGCTCACTTGAAGCATCTGCCACGCGTTCAACCCTGGAACAGCACGCTCACCCGCTATCGCCAGCAATGCTCCTGTACTGAAAAATATTGCTGGAGAAAGTCTCACACCACACCGTACTTCCTGCATTACAAATTCATGTTCGTATACGTCTGCCCTCTCCATTGCCAAGCAAGCGTGTTCCACCTCCATATACCCTTGTGATCCCAAACACCTTTCAAACCTTTCTCACCACTGCGAACCCACCATTAGCTAACCTCACAGCTAGTGTTTTTGCAAGTCAGTTTACGGACAATATCAAGCAAATTAGTAATGCAGTCTTTCCTCCTCCAATCCAATTCTCAGCTTCCATTCTGTACCTTCTTCTCCGAGCTAGATGTCTCTAAACTTCTATTTTCTCATCTTTCCGATTCCCTCCCACCTTGTCCAATCTCTTTCCCATAGTCTGGTGCCATCCCTAGTGCATATATCCAACCTCTCCTTGTCTACTGGCATCTCCCCCTCTTCCCTCAAACATTCAATTGTTAAGCCTATCCTAAAAAATATAATCTCTTGACCTTACCTGTCCTAACTATTGCCCCATATCAGTACTATCCTTCACTTCTAAGCTTCTAGAGTGAGTTGTATTAACCCATCTTACTCTCCTTGACCCTCTACAATCTGGCTTCCTCTCTCTCCTTTCTACTGAAACTGCCCTTCCCAAAGTGACAAACTACTTAATCACTGTTTGATCTAAAGGTCATTACTCTCTTAATTCTCCTCGACATCTCTATTCTTCACACCCTCCATAGCTTTGGACTCCATGACACTGTACTTTCTTGATTTTCATCCTATATTACTGAACACTCTTTTAGCGTCTCTTTCTGCCACCTCCTCCCCGCTGCCTTTCTCTGTTGGTGTTCCCCCAAGCCTCTGCTCTTGGTCATCTTTTTCCATCTACACTACCTCTGTCAGTAACCTTATTCCTTATTATTTCAGTGCCATCTATATGCTGATAATCAGGATTACCTCTCCTCGCCTGACCTTTCTCGTGTTCTTCTGGAATGCGTCAAAAACTGCCTCTCTCCCATCTTCAAGTGGATGTCTTTCCGTTTTCTAAAACTTAAACATTCTAAAACTGGACTACTCATCTTTCCCTCCTCAAATAGTCCTCCTCCATCAATCTCCCTGCAAGTCACTTTTAACTCAGGTCTTACCTTTTTTTAATCACATTCAGTCTGTCTCCAAATCCTTTAACTTTCACCATAAAAATATTTATTGTAATCACCATTTTCCAACTCATGATACAACTAAGGCACTTGTTCATGTCCCTACTTGACTATTGGAATGCACTGCTCATTGATCTCCCAGATACCTGTGCTTGGAGTCACTGGGCACTGTCCCTCTACTCAGTGTTAGACAATTTCATCTCACTAAAGTGGTTATAGTGTCTGGAGTCCCCAGGTGCTGTCCCTCCATTCAGTGCTAGACCATTTTTGAGCAGGTTAACACTGAACGTGGGTCCCTGGCTTCCCACAGGTCGACCCTCAGTGGTGGTGTGGCTAAGGCAGAGATTACACACCGATTCATACCAGGAATGGAAGCGATGATAGGCCCAAAGCGGTCAGCTACCACTCTCAGCCACAGCTGCCCATTGCTGCTCAGGATAAAGCTTCCTCATTACTCCACAGATAAAAGGAAACAAGGTGAGATGATGCTTTTTATTTTATAGTAGCCTATTAGGTCCTTAACTTTGCATGCTGGCTGCCAATGTACTGTTTAGTAGATAATGCCCATGTTAAACACGTGATGTCATGTAATAGGCCAGTGGGATGCCCGAAATCCATAATTAACCATATAGGGATTTTTATCAGAGATTTCTGAATGCAACTGATGATAATTAAATATCTAAACGAAAAAACAAAATAGTGTAATACAGTTACATGTAACAGCAAAAGGAGAGGGAGGTGACCACTTTAACTTTTTAAGGTAAGCCAGCACCAGGTACTATAAGATTTAGAAAAGTATATACCCTCCCCCCCAGGGCTCCTTTGCAAAACCTCTGTATTTTTTACTCAATAGAGAAGTTTTTCAAATGTAAATTAAAATTGAATCGTTACAAAAATGATATGTCTTCAAATCCACAACAAAAGAAAAAAATAAATATATACAAAATATAATGAAATTAACCTAGTCTACGCCTCTGATTCCCATTGTATTTAATTCTGAGGGAAAAAAGCCCAAAATATGTGATTTCATTTCAAGAGGAGAGATTGGAGATAACATCTGGGAAAAGAGATAATCATAAAAATTAATTCTTTAATACTTTCAAAAATATTTTTTTTTCTCATGAGATAACTTCGTATTACCATGAAACAAAACAAAATATGCCGTTCCTTTAAGAGAATATTTCTGCAATACCTCTCACACCCAGTAGGAGACTCACTGGCGCACCTGTACATTATCATCATCATCCTCTGTCTCTCATATGGTAGAGTTTGAGTGAATACAAGGTTTATTGTATATTGTGGTTAAAATCAACAACAACAAAAAACAACCACAAAAATCACAGTACATTAAAAATTATAGTAGTTTATAATAATTTTTATACAAATGGTTGTAACATGATACATAGATCATATCAGAGGGTTTATTCATATAGTGCATGGGTCCTCAAACTACTGCCCCCCCCCCCCCAAATGTTGCTAAACTACAACTCCCATGATTCTTTGAATTACATAGATAGCCAGAGAATCATGGGAGTTGTAGTTCAGCAACATCTGGGGGCCCGGAGTTTGATGGCCCTTGTTATAGTGTAACATATTATAATATAATATATATAACATAATAGAACATAACATATGACACACATAATATAATGGAACAAAATAATATAACAATATATGATATACAATATAAAAAGGATATGAAATATGCTATAACATAGTATAAGATTATGTATTTGTCAGCCATGGCCCAATAAGTAGTCCAGATTGCAGGGTTCTTTTATCCACCCCAGAACATGTATTTACTACAATGTCAGCTGTGAGCAGTTGTTCTCTCAATGCAATAAATACATAGATCGTGAGAACCATTATAAATACTACACCGTTAAGTTTATATTTACATGAAACTAATCTTGAAGAAAAAAAAAAAAAAATATATATTTTTTTACAGAAACATGAAGAATATCCTATATTACATTAACCCTTTCTTTCCCCAGTAGGAATAAAATGTCACCGTTTGTTTTAGCATGGCCAGGGTTAACCTCATCCATCTTCCAGGAGCTCTGAAAAGGTCCCTTGCAATTTATGTTTATTGAAATTAGCATAATTAGAGTTTATTGCCAAATCAGGACATGGAATTTGGAATAAATCAGGGGATATCTGGAATAAAAACCACAATATTTTTCTTAATCGCAAATTAATAATCTTATCATTCAAACCATTTTCAAACAGGATTTGGGGAAATGATGTAATAATAAATTCTGCTCGTATTGTAGGATATGACGAGACAAATGAAACCACGGGATACAGCACAACTCCCATCAATCACAGCCGGACGAGGCTGGGTAGGAGTGATGGGACTGAATTGCTACAGGCTACGTTTATACCAGTAAAAACTATACTACAGAAATGTGATAAATCTATGAACTTACATTCCCAGAATTCTAATTTGATAAGTAGATTTTGATTCAATTAAGTGATCTTTGGGCACTGTGACAAATAATCTGTGGAAAGTGACATCATCTCCCATTGGAAATCCCTCCCAGCACACTGCACAGGGTCTCTGCAGCCTAAAATAACACCCCACCCATATCTATAACTCCACACCCCCTCTCATCACACTGCACAGGGTCTCTGCAGCCTAAAATAACACCCCACCCATATCTATAACTCCACACCCCCTCTCATCACACTGCACAGGGTCTCTGCAGCCTAAAATAAACACCCCACCCATATCTATAACTCCACACCCCCTCCCATCACACTGCACAGGGTCTCTGCAGCCTAAAAACACACCCCAACCATATCTATAACGCCACACCCCCTCCCATCACACTGCACAGGGTCTCTGCAGCCTAAAATAACACCCCACCCATATCTATAACTCCACACCCCCTCCCATCACACTGCACAGGGTCTCTGCAGCCTAAAATAACACCCCACCCATATCTATAACTCCACACCCCCACCCATCACACTGCACAGGGTCTCTGCAGCCTAACAAAAAACCACAACACACCAAAACTCCCCTCCTCTCCCTCCCATCACACTGGGAGTCTGCAGCCTAAAATAACACCCCACCTCCTATCAAACTGCACAGGGTCTCTACGGTCTAAAATTACACCCCACACCCCCACAAACTGCACAGGGTCTCTGCAGTCTAAAATTACACCCCACCCATATCCCCACACCCCATCAAACTGCACAGGGTCTCTGCAGTCTAAATAACCCCACCATACCCCACACCCATACACCCTGAGAGGTTAGAATGGATGTGCACAGATTAAAAGGAATTAAATTCACACTGTGCAAACATAGACTGTCAGCACAAACTAACTTCCCATCTAACCAACTAACTGACCAATCAACTAACTAAAGAACTAAATAGCAACAAAGTCGGTTCATTATATAACCAACAAACAAGCTAAATAATTAACTTTCAACTAACCAACCTGACAAAAGGCAATTTAAACAGGTTTTGTAAAAATATAAATTTTAAGAAAAACCTAATTGGTGAAAGCATGGTACCGCACATTACCCCCAATTGGTGTGTTAAAGGTATATTACCCCCTCCCCCCCCTCCCATCTGGTGTATTACAGGTATATTATCCCCCCATCTGGTGTATTACAGGTATATTACCACAATCTGATGTATTACAGGTATATTACCCCCACCTGGTGTATTAAAGGTATATTACCCCCATCAGGTGCATTACAGGTATATTACCCTCCCCTAATTACCTCCACCTGGTGTATTAAAGGTATATTACCCCCATCAGGTGCATTACAGGTATATTACCCTCCCCTAATTACCTCCACCTGGTGTAATAAATGTGTATTACCCACAGCTGATGTAGTAAATGTATATTACCCCTATTGCCCTTACTTGGTGTATAAGGTATATTTTTCCCATTCCCAAAGCTAGTGTATTAGATTTTTAAAGGGGGTTATTAAAGGGGAGTTATTTAACAGAATATTACCCCCAGCTGGTATAGCAAATGTACAATACCACTATTACCTTCAGATGGTTTAGTAAAGGTATATCATCCTTATTACCCCCTTGCTGCCCTATTAAAGGTATATTGCCACTAATGCCTCCAGCTGGTATAGTAAGTGTATATTACCCCACATTACCCCTGATTTAGTAAAGGCATGACCAAAATGATAGGAATTGTAGTGCTGGCCCAGTGTCCACTCAGGGTTGGACTCTGACACCCAGTGGGTAATAGGATATTATCATTTTTATTATTAATACTATTATATATTTATTATTATTATTATTATTATTATTATTATTAATAAGTGGATTTAATGTATTTTGCAAAGTAAATTCAGAAAGGTCAGCAACAAGACTCTACAATCTGCCCTTCTCTGCATGTAAATACTCCCAGTAGGGCAGGCAATAGGTGTGCAATACCCCCAGAGGGGCAGGCAATAGGTGTGTAATACCCCCGAATGGCAGGTAATAGGTGTGTAATACCTCCTAGTAAGGCAGGTAATAGGTGTGTAATACCCCCGAATGGCAGGTAATAGGTGTGTAATACCTCCTAGTAAGGCAGGTAATAGGTATGTAATACCTCCTAGTAAGGCAGGTAATAGGTATGTAATACCCCGAGTAGGGCAAGTAATAGATGTGTAATACCCCCATATGGCAGATAATAGGTGTGTAATTCCTTCAGCGGGGCAGGCAATAGGTGTGCAATACCGCCCAGTAGAGCAGGTAATAGGTTTAGAATACCCCAGTAGAGCAGGTAATAGGTTTATAACACCCCCAGTAGAGCAGGTAATAAATGTGTAATAGCCCCAGCAGGACAGGTAATATGTGTGTAATGCCACCTAGCTGGGCAGGTAATATGTGTGTAATACCACCTAGCTGGGCAGGTAATATGTGTGTACTACCACCAAGCTGGGCAGGTAATATGTGTGTAATACCCCCAGCTAGGCAGATAATAAATTTGCAATAATCCCAGCAGAGCAGATAATTAGTGTGTGATACCCCCCCAGCAAGGCAAATAATTAGTGTGTGATACCCCCAGCAGGGCAGGTAATAGATAAGTAATGCCTCCCAGCAGGGCAGGTAATGCATGTGCAATACCCCCAGCAGGGCAGAGGCTCAATCTTTGCTCCCGTCACACAGAGCTAGCGGAGGATCATGTTGGCTTCTACCATTGTAGGGAAGGGGGTGCTCATCCATGCTATTATTAATGCAGTTTTGAGCGGATTAAAGTGCGCCCCCCCCACCCGGGGGCAGGAGACTTCAGCCATTAGTTTAATTTATGAGTCAAACATTGTCCTCCTCTGCAGGTATACACATTAAAGTGAGCTGAGAGCAAGCTCCCTGGGCCAGCTGCTGCATGCATTTAATGAGTAGTGTGTACATTGCCTGGAAGAACAAAGACTGGCATTATTTGTGTTTCACAAGGGCTTCCTGCAGCCAGGAGACAAGGGGCACCCTGCTATATGGAGAATAAGAGCTTTATTAATGGATTAATGGTTCTGTTAACATCCCAATATCCTGTGTGCCAGGCTAAGTGTGGGCATTGCATCCACTTTATAGAGTCATCTTTTAAACTAATATTTGTTCAGCTCTTAATCTAATTGTGTGAGCTCTCTGCTTCCACAGCAGGTGTATTGTACTCAGATCTATCTATCTAACTATCTATCTATCTATCTATCTATCTATCTATCTCTCTATCTATCTCTCTCTATCTCTCTCTATCTCTCTCTCTCTCTCTCTCTCTCTCTCTCTCTCTCTGTCTTTCTCTCTCCCTCTCTCTCTCTCCCTCTCCCTCTCCCTCTATTAGCTGATTCCCAGTGGCCTGGCCTCTGTTAAACACCCCATATAATCATGAACCTGGGAAGAATTTCCCAGTTCTCTGTGAATTGTGTATCCTGCACCTGTTACAGTACAGAGAGTGTACCAGTGACTGGTGCCAGACTCCAACAAGGCTAATGTCCATGGATGGAGCTCTGCCCCTGCAGCAGTGCATGAGATGAGTGCAGTGAAAGCAATGTATCTGATGCATGTAATGCAATGAGAGCTGTGCTGTGTCCCTGCAGCTATGGATGAGATGAGTGCAGTGCATGCAGTGCATTTGTTGCATTTAATGCAACGAGAGCTGAGCTCTGCCCCTGCAGCAGTGCATGAGAAGTGGGCAGTGCATGCAATGTATCTGATGCATTTAATGCAACGAGAGATGAGCTGTGTCCCTGCAATGCAGTCAGGGCTGCAGTACATGTCGCGTTCAATAAGAATAGAAGCTGCCCATTCACTTAGCCCACACAGAAATAAATAAATAAAAAGTCAGTTTTTGGTAAGGGGGTGGGGAGAGGGGGGTGAGAGAATAAATTATTAATGACTGGAGACTGTTTCCCTTACTTTTCATTAACGTTTGGGATGATCAATGCAAATGGCCCTGGACTGGGGCCAAATGACTGGCACATTTTTGTGAATGGAATACTCAGTGACTGTAATGACGTCATTGCAAGGCTGAGGGCCCATGCCCCTGGTGTGATTGGTGAGAGGGGCCCCTGGTTGGCTGTGATTGGTTGGCCATGAATCACTAAACGCCTACACACACTCACCCAGGCGGTAGATATAAAAGGCTGGAGCTCCCCATTGAAAAGCATTGAGATTGGGATAGTTTGTTACAGAGGAATCTCTTACAATACTGATTGGTGAGTGACATTTATCCTCCCAGGGAAATCCTGATGGGTCTGTCTCCCTTACAAATTCTACATTCTTTTACATGGGGAAAATCTATGAAGATAACAGAGATACAGACAGATAAAGAGAGACTTATAGATGGATGCTATATATCTAATGTGTGAATGGAAAGAGTATAATGTAATCTGCATCTTATATTATATATGGCTACAAATTGGTAAATTTAACGTTAGAACACATTGCTGCAATAATAGTGGCTGGTGTATCATTTTAGAATCTGCAATGCATTTATGATAAATACATAGTTTACTTTTTTCAGTTTTCTCATTAATGTATATTTAATTTGTATCTTTCTTTTGTATCTTTTTGTGTTTCCATTTTAAATGTTTATTTTGTACAAGTTTATATCAATATGTCAATTTTCTATTTATTTTATGCTAGTTTGTATCATTATATTAGTTATGTATTTTTTATATTAGTTTGTTTCCGTTTTGTATTTATTTTATGCTAATTTATATTATTCTATCAGTTTTGTATTCATTTTATTCTATTTTGTATCTGTTTTTTTTTTATTTATTCTATGCTAATTTGTATCATTATATCAGTTTTTAAAAACATTTATTTTGTTCTATGCTATTTTGAATCATTTCAGGTTTTTTTAAAATTTATTCTATGTTCTATGTTTGTATCATTATATCAGTTTTGTATTTTTTTTTAATACTCGTTTCTATCATGTTTTTTTTTTTCATTGTATGGTTGTATCATTCTACCAGTTTTGTGTATTTGTTTTACATAATTTATATCATTATATCACTTTCGTATTTATTGTATGTTAGTTTCTATTATTCTATCCGTTTTGTATTTATTTTATACTAGTTTTATCATTATATCACATTTGTATTTATTTTGTATCTCTTTTCTGAAGTCGGCTGAGCACAGCAATCTTTCGATTTTATATGAGTTGAGGTGACGTGTAGGACTTTGCATTCCATTTAGTGAATGCATTGTTTAAATGATGCAGAGAATGTCTAGCAAATGATCCTTCCTTACTTACAGTAATGGAGAGAAGTATGTAAGAACCATATGATGCTCTTCAGTTGCTATAACTGTACTAATAGCTGTTTGCTACCCAGATCACACCTTGCTATGAGCTCAGTCTGAGTGATGAGTGATCTCCTTGGGCAGTAGAATATTAGAATGAAATGCTGATGGCTATGCTGGCAGTCTGCCAATACGTCTCCTTTAAATCTTCCTTGTAGAATAAAGGGACATTATGGTTGTTCTGAAGATCTCATCCCTGCTTGCTGTACTTGCCTTGGTTTTCTGCCAAATGCACAGCTCGAAGGCAGCCCCGGCCAGGTAAGAGGGCCTGTCCCCTGCTATGTCTGCACTCCATGCCTGGGGCCCCTCCTGAGTGAGTGCTCTGGCATTGATTATAAGACCTGAAGTGATTGGGGTTCAGTCCATGAATGTCTGTGTTTCATAGCGTGCTGTTGGGAAATACTGGGACTTTGTTCTATGTATCTGGTAAATCACAGTGGACCTGGATACACATAACGAAGATTGTCTGAAGTTGTCCCCTTTTTGTTCTTTTTGATTAAGACCTGGACTAGAGTCAGTTCCAGAGAGGGTTGCAGTCAGTGACTACGAGGCCAGGAGGTTGCTCAATGCTCTGGTCAAAGAATTCATACAAATGACAGCAGAGGACTTGGAACAAGCCAGCGAAGGAAACAGGTAAGAAAGAGATGGATACACTCACAATGTATCAATTGTGACTCTCAATGGACCTACAGTGTATAGTACAGGCATAGGCAACCTTCAGCCCTCCAGATGTTTTGGACTACACCTCCCATGATGCTTTGCCAGCATTACGGGTGTAAGAACATTATGGGGGATGTAGTCCAAAACATCTGAAGTGCCGAAGGTTGCCAACCCTTGTATAGTATGTCGCAGCACATGATGGTCCTCTAAGAGAGTTATGTACAGTGCAGGGTATATCCCAGCTCTCGATTGATCTCTAGGAGAGCTATGTACAGTGCAGGGTATCTCCCAGCTCTCGATTGATCTCTAGAAGAGTTATGTACAGTGCAGGGTATATCCCAGCTCCTGATGGACCTATAGGAGAGCAATGTACAGTCAGAGTATATCACAGATCCTGATTGACCTACAGTGTAGTATTTCATAGAACCCGATGGACCAATAGGATAACATTGTACAGTGCAGGGTATATGCCAGCTCTTGATGGACTTACACTGAATAGAATTTCATAGCACCTGATAATCCACTAGGAGTGCTACGTACAGTGCAGGGTATATCACAGCTACTGTTGGACCTCTAGGAATGTTACGTACAGTGCAGGGTATATCACAGCTCCTGATAGTCCACTAGGAGAGCTATGTACAGCACAGGATATGTCACAGTGCCTGATGGTCCATTAAGAATGTTATGTACAGTGTAGGGTATATCACAGCTACTGATGGACCTCTAGGAATGTTATGTATAGTGCAGGGTATATTACAGTGCCTGATGGTCCAATGGTCCAGTGGAGAGCTATGTACAGTGCAGGATATGTTACAGTGCCTGATGGTCAACTAGGAGAGCTATGTACATCGCAGAGTATATCACAGTTTCTGATGGTCAACTAGGAGTGTTATGTTATGTACAGCACAGAGTATATCACAGTTCCTTATCGACTACTAGGAGAGCTATGTACAGAGCTGAGTATATCACAGATTCTGATGGTCGACTAGGAGTGTTATGTTATGTACAGCACAGAGTATATCACAGTTCCTGATCGACTACTAGGAGAGCTATGTACAGAGCAGAGTATATCACAGATTCTGATGGTCGACTAGGAGTGTTATGTTATGTACAGCACAGAGTATATCACAGTTCCTGATCGACTACTAGGAGAGCTATGTACAGAGCTGAGTATATCACAGATTCTGATGGTCGACCAGGAGTGTTATGTTATGTACAGCACAGAGTATATCACAGTTCCTGATCGACTACTAGGAGAGCTATGTACAGAGCAGAGTATATCACAGAGTCTGATGGACATCTAGGAGAGCTATAAACAAAGCAGGCTATATCATAGCAGGTATAAAAGCACCCTATAGCACTGGCACCAGTGGTTACTCTTTGTAAAGTTTTGTCTAATTGCAGAAATAGAATGCTTGTGAATTATCTTCCAGACATTTTCCCCCTGAATTCTGAATCAAGTATCGTTGCTCTAAAAGAGTTAACAATTAATTTGACCAGTACGGTTTCTTTCTCAGAAGCACTATGACAGTAAATGCACATACAATGCTTACAAGAAGATACTGTGTATCAATCTCATGTCTTCTAATGCTGCTGTAGTTTGTCTGTACACACGTGTCCTCGAAGCCACAGCCTCTTGCTATGAAGGAGGTTTGATAGTATATAAGAGTGAGGTACGTTTTTTGTTGTATCAGTTGTGGGGGCAGATCTGAGTGCCACTGTCAGGGTCCTGCATGCTCTCCCCATCTAAAAGGCATGAGTCTCAGACAGCGGGTTTGACTGCAATGAAATCATCAGTCAGAATAGGGCGTTCACTTCATGTACTTAGCAATGACTTCATTCACTGAGCTCGGAAATCAATGAAGACGCATGCCCTGCATTTAAATGACATTTATTTACTGAAACCCTTTAATGCAAAGCATGATTAGAATGATGTTAGCGAGCATGTGCCGCCATATCTATACAATAGCTTGATCCACCACAGCCACGTCAAGCTACAGCAGCACCATCCACCACAGCCACGTCAAGTTATAGGACCATGATTTACCACTGTCACGCCAAGCCAAGCTATAGAATCACCACCCAACACAGCCACTTCAAGTTATATTACCATAATTTACCACAGCCACACCAAGCTATAGGAGCATGACCTACCACAGCCACCCCAAGTTATAGGAACATGAATTACCGCAGTCACACTATTCTATAGAACCATGATCCTCCACAGCCACACAAAGCTAATCAAGATCATGATCCACCACAGTTACACCAAGCTATAGGACCATGATCCACCACAGCTACACCAAGCTATAGGACCATGATTTACCACAGCTAGGCCAAGCTATAGGACCATGATTTACCACAATCCCCCTAGCTATACGAGCACGATACACCATGGCCATCCCAAGCTTTATGAACACAATACACCATGGCCACACCAAGCTATACAAGCATGATACACCATAGCTACACCAAGCTATACGAGCACAATATACCACGGCCACCCCTAGCTATACGAGCACGATACACCATAGCCATACCACGCTATATATGCACGACCTACCATGGCCACCCCTAGCTATACGAGCACGATACACCATAGCTACCCCAAGCTATATGAGCACGATCTATCACGGCCACCCCTAGCTATATACGAGCACGATACACCATAGCCACACCACACTATACATGCACGACCTACCATGGCCACTCCTAGCTATACGAGCATGATACACCATAGCCACACCAAGCTATATGAGCACGGCCTACCATGGCCACCCCTAACTATATACAAGCACGATACACCATAGCCACACTACGCTATACAAGCATGAAACACCATGGCCACACCACGCTATACATGCATGACCTACCACGGCGACCCCTAGCTATACAAGCACGATACACCATAACCACACCACGCTATACAAGCATGAAACATCATGGCCACACCACGCTATACAAGCACGCCCTACCACAGCCACCACTAGGTATACGAGCACGATACACCATAGCTACACCACGCTATACGAGCACGATCTACCACGGCCACCCCTAGCTATATGAGCATGACCAGATCTAAATGGCTCAAGCATGTTGTTTACAGAGCAAGCTTCCTGTTTGAGAAGGTAACTAGTGGATGACACGGTGAGAACAAGCATGAATTGCAATGAATTGCATGAGAAAAGCATGTGAAGTATGTCTTTGGTTTTGGCTTTTTGTTGGCATGTTGTTTTCTCCCCTCCTTTACAGCCTGGATAGACCCATTTCCAAACGCTGCTCCAGCCTGAGCACATGTGTGTTGGGGAAACTCTCTCAAGAATTGCACAAATTGCAAACATACCCTCGTACAGACGTTGGTGCTGGGACCCCTGGCAAGAAGAGAAATGTGATGGCTGATCTGGAGAACGGACGCTATGCAACTTACGGGGAGCAATTTGATAATTAATAACTAGTTGGCATGCCTGGCATGCTGTCAATGCTTCTTGGCCTGGTGCATGCTGGACTTCTCTCGATTGCTTTAACCTTGTTTTTTTGATTCAGCACGTTGGATAGGGACATTCTGACCAGGAACTCAGAGCGCACAAGACTATATACAGCACATGATCACCAATCCTATATAATATACCAAAATTATCGGGGAGAGGGGGGTACAATACCTACACGCTGTAATCTCAAATTTCACCTAATTATTTACATTTTATATCATGATCAACCAAAATCTAACATTTGCTGCCTACACTGTGTATAAATAAAATCATATTTCATGCCTAACCATGCACTTAATGAATAAACCTATTTTTCTACAAGGAGATGATCTGATGTTTTAATTAAGGGGTAGAAAGGTTTCTCGTAGTCTGCATTATGGAACATTTAAAGGGACTTAGAAAAGTTTGGGTAAAATATTTCTACAGATTTTAGGAGTTTCTAGGATGAAATGAATGCATGTAGCAATTTACTTACTGGAGGTAAGACTATATTTATTTTTACATCTTTGATTGCTGAAAATATAATTTTTTATTAATAATTAGCATCTTTGAATATTTTAATGTAGTCATAAAATATTGCGTATAATAATGTTAAGTATTAGGAAAAGAACGACAAAGTAAAAACAATTAAAGTTTGATTTGGCATGAATAATTATTCCAAGTTAAAATTACTTTTAGTTATTTATTTGTTTCTATTGTATTTAGTTATTCTTTTATTTTTTCAATCGGATTATTATCTTTCTATGTATTGATATATCATGGAGTCTTTTTCACTATGCAAGCAAATTGTGGTGACTTGACTTTTCTGAACAAACTGAACTGGCGATTAGTTTTCCTCGTCTCACGTATTTCATCCTAAATTTTCAGTTATGAAGTCACCAGAAGTTGCTGTTTAAGGAAATGATCATTATCTAATAGCTGTAAAAATCGCCGGAGTTTCTCCCTTAAATTAATAGTTTTGCATTGTTACAGATTTATTAGGAGCAACACCGATCTAATGCAGTTTGTTACAATGAATTTTGTAGAAATGTAGCTTGTATTGTGAAGCAGATTGCTGTTTCAGAATACTAAGTGTTAGTCACTGAACTCCTATTAGTTAATTATTGCTTATATATACATATTGTTTCTACCTTAAAACAGCAGCGTTACCGCACAGAAAAGATCATGTAAGACAGCGACATGTGTCACTCACCGTCTGGCAGACTTCCTGAGCAGGTCTGGAGGCATAGGAAAGAGTAATTTTGTGCCAACCAACGTGGGTGCCAAGGCATTTGGTAGACGAAGACGGAGCCTCTATGTCTAAACGCAATGTGACATCAGGAATATGGTAAGTTTATAATCCCATTCAAACTTCTTTACTTGCCAAGATGAGCCAACTGCAGCCCATCGAGTAGGTACAATGTGTGTTGAGATGGGGGAAGAGGAGGGAGGGTTAAACTAAACTATATGATATGATATATTTGATATGTGTATGTCAAAAATATTAAATAATTTTTTTAAATAATGAAATAATTTTGAAAGCTAATCCAAAAATATTAAATGGATAATGTTATGTTAAATGGAAATGTCATGTTAGAGCATCACTTACTGTTTCTGTACTATGAGCATTGTCCTTTATTACACGCTAGACGTGTAGCAGTCACACATTTGGCAGTGCTATAGCATTTGTGAAGTGGATGTTTTACCAAAAAAATAAATTTATACATTCTATAATGTCATTTTGTCATTTTGTCTCCATATTATACGTTTCAAAGTCAATGAGTGAAACTTACATAAGGAGTATATGCGCTATTTTTATATAAAGGGATTATATGGTGCACCATGTTATATACAGATATTATATGGTGCTCTGTTTTATATAAAAGGCTTTAAAGGGACTCTGATTTCATGCAGAATTACTCACTGTCAATTGTTAAAAGATGGATAGATTAGTTTATATGTTTTTCACTCTTCTGCTATCGCTGGTCGCACAGTTGGCCACATGAAAGGTGGGACAGGGAAAGTATTCTGGGACAGGGAAATCTTGAGTAACATTGGATTTCCTATTGTAAAAATTCCCTGATGAGACAGTGCCCCTGGAGTTGAACTGAACCCCTTTGAGGGTCAGCCTCCTCTCAAGCACTTTAAGGGTTAACACATAATATATCCTCAACCACTTTCTCCCTTTCCACGAAACTGCAAAGCTCGTGGGGACTGGAAGGGGTATTTCTGTTAATTCTGTCCCATATACTCAGTCCTGCTTCTGGCTGGATTCTCTGGTTAGTGGAGTGAGTGTTTAATTAAATATTGTCTGTTGGGGAAGCTGAGGATCCTGTAGCTAAGGGAGCAATAAATCTCACTAGATCTCAGGAGGACAAACAGTTTGAACATTAAAATTGGAAAGATAGTTACAGAGGCAGCTAAGTGGATCAGCTCCTTCACATTGCGGACAGTGATTGGATAAAGACTGGGGTACAATAACTACTGGACGCGCTATGAGCTGTAAGCAGTGCTTACCCTAGGCAGTATATTTATTGCCATTCAACTCTAGTCCTATCCCCTATTTAACATACACCTGTTATCACACTTTGTAACCTATGGAAGTAAGCTTTTTTAAATGTTCACGTCACCCTCATGCTGTCAGGACGGCAAATCCTCTCATTCTTCTGGGACTGCGAATCCTCTCATACTTCCGGGACTGCGAATCCTCTGATACTTCCGGGACTGCGAATCCTCTCATACTTCCGGGACTGCGAATCCTCTAATATTGCGACGACTGCAAATCCTTTCATCCTGTGGCAATGATTGCGAATCCTTTCATACTGCGGCGACTGCGGATCCTTTCATACTGTGGCGACTGCAGATCCTTTCATACTGCGGACACTGCGTATCATTTCATACTGCAATGATTTCAAATCCTTACATTCCACAGCGACTGTGTATTCTTTCATACTGTGGCGACTGGGGATCCTTTCATGCTGCAACGACTGTGGATCCTTTGTGGCTTTAAAGGGAGAACATTTTAGGCTAACTTTATCATTCCAAAACCAAAGCCATTCTGGGGGGGAAACAGTGAATTTGGAGTAATCAATCTTTTTGAGATTGCACCGATATTATCACAATCCCCTAGTATTACATCACCATGTCTTGTTATCATGTGTAATAACGATAATTCCAAATTCCTTTTATATTTGTGGAGAATCTTGAACTGAACACTACCCGCTATGGGCATTAATCAGCTCAAGTTGACGTCTTGCTGGAAAGGTCCCAAAAGTGCCAGATCCAAACTTCAACTTCCTTTTTCAGTTTCTGTTCTAACACTAGAAAGGACTCCAGGCACTCACACAATTAAAGCACATTTTATAGGTTTCAACCTCATTCACAAAGTATCTTTCTCCACATTTAAATCTTTTTGTCAAAATAAATGTCAGCTTTCTGCAGTGTAACTCCGCCCCTTATCCATCCCTCCCTTTTCACAAAGACACTTCCTTATTATATGTACTTTGACTGCATACTTAGCTCAGCCAATGAAGGTTCAGTGTGAGCTGGCTTAATGACATCACTTCACCCCATAGCCAATCACTGTACTCCTTTAATATCTGCCTTCTTAGCATGGAATTAAAACAAGGGGGCAGTTATTGGCTGTGGGGCGGAGACATCTCACACCAATCTCTCATTGTCTGGGCTACGCTACATACCTTCCAAGTAGGAAGATGTTTTGTGAATAGAGGAGTGTGGCTAAATCTAAAACGAAAATATTTGAATATGGGAATTATCAGCAGTAATATGAGTCCAAAACCCAATCACATAAACATAAGTTGTGATGGTGCCTGGTATGTCATTTTAATTTTTAAAATATTAAATCATACATAAATAGATTAACTGTTCTCAGGATTAAAATAAACATGACCAAAACTGTAAATATAGGAATATCTATATATAGAATACATGTAAATACTGTTATTTTATATTAGATGTGTGCTTTAGGGAGGAATAACTGCACATTGGGATGGTGGGTGGACGTGATTCAAAAATGAGTTTGAAGTGCTTTGTCCGAAAAAAATTCCTCAATCAATAAATTAACCGATTCCGTATCGATCTGATCTGTAGATTCTATTCTGTAATAACAATTTTCTCACCTATTACCAGGAATTTTAATTGGATGAATCGCATAAAGTGAGACCGTTCAAATAGTTAGACTACTTACAAGGGGGTATCAGGGCACTCCTGACACTATAACCACTACAACAAGCTGTAGAGGTTAGGGTGCTTGGATGGTTCCTTTAACGTTTACCTGCTAAGTAAAATGTACATGAAATAACAGCAAGCTCGTCCTGTTTGCTTCAATAAATGCAAGGCTTCTCTGAGCCTTCTCTAATACACAGATGTGGCAAATGTCCAAACAGACAATATCCAGCGTGAACCAAAAAATATTTAAAATATTGGGGTGCTTCTGAAGAAGGAATGACATTCATTTTATTATTTAAGATTAGACTAATATGGAGAATTTTCGCTGGAGATAAAGTCATTGCAATTATTTTCTCTTCATTGACTTGAAACGAGCCAGCATTCTCAGCGGATGTCGGCCCATTTAGTCTGCCCAATTTTCTAAATTCTTTCATTAGACCCTGGCCTTATCTTAAGTCTAGGATAGCCTTATGCCTATCCAACGCATGCTTATACTCCTTCACTGTGTTAACCTCTGCCACTTCAGCTGGAAGGCAATTCCATGCATCCACTACCCTCTCAGTAAAGTAATACTTCCTGATATTATTGTTAAACCTTTGCCCCTCTAATATAAGACTATGTCCTCTTGTTGTGGTAGTTTATTTAAATATGAAATGACATTTGCTGTGAATAAAAATATATAAATTTACCAATGTTAAACAGGACAATCTCTGTTTATTTTTCAGATTGCCATGAAAAGGAAGACATCCGTGTCCACTTTCTTTAAAAAAAAAAATTACAAAAAAAACCATCAAAAAGGCCAAACAAAACAAGTTTTTGCATTTAAAGACAATTATAGTTTTTATTCATTTATTTTGTCTATATTTGTTTTGCTTTTGTTTTTTTTTTTATTTTTGGAAACATTGCTACAGCACTTCTGTTATGTATTGTAAAAAACAAAAAAGAGGTATTTATGATAATAAAATAATTCTATTCTTTTTATATTATATTTAAGAATAAAATCTGACGGCGTTTATTGTTTTAATTCTCTTTACGGCATATATATGTGCAATATGATCCATGCTATTGTTTGTGGCGAATCTGCAAATCTCGGGGATTATACAGTGTATATGGCGCTCAAGGCGTGTCTGTAAAGTGACAGTGTGCAGTGCCTTGATGTAAAACATTAAACTTACATGATTGTACAGACAAACTAGAAGCTAACAAAAAAAACAAAACAAAAAACCTTAAACATTGTATTCAATTGTGAATTTCAGCAAGATTAAAAAAGTATTTTAGATACACTTGGATTCTCGCTGTGTCTCATTATTTCCTATGTTTATTCTTGTTACTCCAAAAAATATTTGGTGCTATCGGAAGGCTATCACTTGAAATCTGTATTGCTTTGCCTGTTTGATGAGTTATATCCTGATGGGGAGCATTATGCTAGGCACTGAGACTTTTTATTATATCATCTGTCTGTTGACCTGGTGTCTGTCCGTTCATCCATCAGCTACCTTCACTAGGCTTATGGGAAAGCATTGGATTGGCTGAAATTGTCAAGGAGCCAGATCAGGGGCAGAGCCAACACAAGTCAAACACAGCCCTGGCCAATCAACATTTTCTCATAGAAATGCATTGAATCAATGTATCTCTTTGAGGAAAGTTCAGTATCTCCAGGCACAGGGTGGAGATACTAAATGGCAGAGCTGCAAGAGGTGGGGTTTGGGGGTTAAATAGTGTTCCTTTAATGTGAAATCATTCTTATTGTGACAGACTGCCTGGTCCACTAGGAATGGTATATGTTTCCCAACCGTCACCTTCCTCTAAAAATACTATAATCACTACAACCCTCAAACTCTCTGGAACTCTTGATCAGATCGCAGAGTTGCAGCGGTCCAGTAAAACATTGACGAGGGCACTTTCAGTCCTAGAACACCTATCAGGGCACTTTTTGGAGGGGTGACAGATTAGGGTGTGTGGCATCCAACAACACCAAGAACGTGAGGGAGCTACATGTACCGACTGAAAGCACCATAATTTTAGGTGACCTGGATTTCTACCAAGCGCTGTGGAGCTCTGCGCAGGATCAGAGGATTATTGTGGCCCGCTGAAAACTTCACCTTCCGTCTAACTCCGGCTAGACACCTCCGATCCGATCGCTTTTTTGGAAAGAGTTGGCGCTTAGTAGAAAGCTTCTCAGGGATGGCACTATTGTGGGATTGTGGAGATGTAGACACAGGAATTATAGTATGTGTGTGCTTTTGTTAACCTGGTGCCAAGGTGTCTGGCCACTAATTAAATTACCAGCTCAGATACAGAAACCAAGGAACCGGGAATATTGCAATACTTTTGTTCTGTAGGGACCTCCTATTGAGGCCCCAGGTATAAAAGTGTGACTATTGTGCTAATGAATCTAATTAATCAATTCTTTTCCTTTCACTAAATCTCGGCTAGTGTTTGGGTGAGACAGTGATATTACAGCAGCATTGAGCTATAACCACTCTGAGATATAATCACACAGGGGAAAGGGTACAACCCAGCTACTTGTGGGTATACCACCACAAGCACTTTATGTATTTATGTGACTCCATGTCTGTTTAATGTGGTCCTGAATTGCCTCTCTTTATCAATGTTGTAGGATTAGCTTTTTCAACCTTTTCACACTGCTACAACCTACAGATAGCAAGTAATGGTAACGGGAGCAAACACAAGGAAATCTTTTTTGTCCCATATCAAATGACAGGTGTTTTCTGATTGGTTGAAATCACCAAGAAGCCAATCAGAATACATACCTGCAGTGCTGGGGCATTCACCATGATTTCTCACTTAGGAGCTGAGGTCATGCTCCCTTGTTTGCCCCCTGTCTTTCAGCAGGAGTTTGCCACAAAGAGTGCCTCACTCCAACCCACCAAGTGACTGGAAAAGCACAAGTCTCCTAGTGATCACTCTCACCGGCCGCATGAAAATCTCCATAGGCTAAGACTTTATCCGGGTGGCAATTCAACACCTTGAGTGTGACAAGAGCACTCTTTTGACAAAGAAAGCGAGGTGGAGAGTAGGGGGATGTCATCTGGGGATATAAGACATATGTGGGTTACTTGTGCAATTTTATACGTTATGGGATATTTTAGTGGTTACTGATCTAGTTATCTCCTAAACTCCGGCGCCACGGTGGATTTACATTGTTCAAGCCAGGGACCCACTGTTGTGGTTGTGTGTATGAAAGTGTGCCTTGTTCTCAACAAACCAGTTCTTATTCACACTTCACTAAATTTTTCCTAGTGTTTGAGTGAGAGAGCTATAACAGCTATAATCACTCCAGGTATCCATTGCTGAAAGTTAGGGAGGGAGACACTCAAGCTGAGTGCTGAGCCCCGTCACATCTGGTGGCAACGGCGGGATCTTCTCTCTTGCAGGGGTATGTTTGGAGGAAAACCTATGGTTGATGATTCACAGTAGAGGACGCAGAGTGGATGGAGCTGTGCTATGAGAAACAAAAGAGGAGCATGCTGAAGCAAGAGACCAGATGGCCAGCAACAAAGCTAAAACTGCATTTCAAACATTTTCTGGAGACTGATGAAGACATCAGTGGGTACTTGATGGACTTTGAGAGACAGTGTAGACCTGTAGCTAGAATGGCCACAGGTCTACCAGCTCCTGGAGGACAAACTGCAGGTATTTTCCCATAGAACAGAGTACACAACCCTGACTTAACCTATAAGAACCTCTCCAAACAGATCCTGTGGTCTCTAGAGAGTGAGGCAGCATTCAACAAACTTAAGTCAACCCTGATGAATACCCTGGTGCTGGTGACTCCTGATACAACAAAATAATTTCTTGTTCATACAGACACTTCCATGCTTAGATTTGGGGTTGTGCTCAGCAAGGTCGGAGATGATGGAGGTGAGCAACCAGTGTGATGGTGCCTGGACTTTACTATACACTACTGCCCTGGCAAAGCTGAATGGTAATGCCAATGGGTTGTAAGGCCAAACAGAACTTGAACCCTGCCTTTGTATCTACCCAGACATCCCCAAGCCATCCCATTAACCCCTTAAGGACACATGACATGTGTGACATGTCATGATTCCCTTTTATTTCAGAAGTTTGGTCCTTAAGGGGTTAAGGATCTTGCTATGTCTACCAGACTATTGAGCACTATGCAGAGACATTCACCCCAATTTCTCTCTTAGGAGCTGCAGTCATACTCTCTGGTTTTCCCCTGTCCTTCACCAGGCACTGCCCTGAAGAGGGCCCTTACTCCAGACCACCAGTAACAGGTAGCAATTCAACACTGTGAGTGTGACATGAGCACTTTTTTCACCAAAAGAGGAGGATGGGGGAGAGCTATCTGGGGACATAAGACATGTGGGAGTTATTTGTGCATTTCCTATGTTTGGGGTATATTGTCATGGTGTCCTGATGTCGGGAGGATAATTAACTTAGTGGTTACTGATATAGTTAACTCCCAGGTTCAGAGGTGCCAGGGTAGGATTTATATGTTCAAGGTAGCGACCCCATCTGGGGTCATGTGTATAAAAGAATGCCTTGTTCTCAATAAACCAGTTCTTATTCACTCTTCACTAAGTTATGCTAGTGTTTGGATGACACAGCTATAACAGCTATAAAGGCTCCATGATTTAGTGCTGAAAAGAGAGGGACCCTTGACAGAGACACTCAAGCTGAATCCTGAGCTCCGTCACACAGATCTCCAGTTCTGGTCAGTAATGAAAGTCAACTGTTCCCTACAATTGGCTAACATTTCAAATCAAATAATGAATGCGTATTTAGCTGATATATCCTCCAAATTGAAAAAACCCTGTAACAGATCACTTGGCACCCCGACTGGGTACCTCCGTTGAAGGATGCTCCTAGTGCTTCCTAAGGACTCCAGGCACTGCAGCAGACACCACAATCACCGAACTGGAGAAGCATACGAATGCTCTCAAGCATATGAATGCTGTAAATAGTTGAACAGGAAAAGCATACAATCAGCTTACACTCCTGGCAATCGGCATACAATCCAATTCCCCCAATAACAAGACGACACTTTGTTTTGAGGTCAAGCAGAACTGACTGTACTGGCACATACAGCCTCTTTTATTCACAATCCACAAACATAGTACTGCCCACAGGGTTTTGAAATACAACCAATCAATCCGTACAATACACACAGACACTCCCACACAAAATCCTCCCCTCTGCCTGTGATATGATTACTGAACACAATGGGTAATATAATTATCACAGGCAGAGAAATACAGTTTTTACAAAATATTAATAACTTCCAAAATATACATGCCATTCACATAAAACATACATTTTCAGAATCCGCATGCTTGAAATATACACATACTCAAAAATCAGGGCAATGGGTTCAGGGGTTAAAAAGTTAAGGGAAAGTCCTATTTGACAAAATGAAGCATGGTTTTTCTGCCCAAAACCAGTTCCACAGAGTCTTCTATCCTGGAGATAATTGGGAAGTAATCCAATTATCTCCAAGGACAGAGGCAAAACTCCATTAGCCACATGGAAGCAAAATACAATAAAATACATAAAAATATATAACTGTACAGCGATTGCATAAAACGGGTACATTCAACATATCCCCAGATAGCTTAGATCTGAGCGCAAATTATTACTGAATGGCGCTCAGATCACATACATACAGTTCAATTGCCATGGAGCCAAAGTCTTTCACATAGTCTTTCGTTATACGAATGGGCTCCATGGCACAGCTATCTGGGGTAACACTGCTCACATAGAGAAAGTACCGAATGACCCGGCTTTCGGGTCTTTGCAGGGGAAAATCAAGCATTTCAACATGGGGCCATAGTCACAGGTCAGGAAGCTGGCAATCAGTCTTCTCCAATGCCCAGTGGCGAGGCTGGTTCCGCCACAACCCCAAACAAGTATATTCTGTTTTTCACAATGAATGAAAGAGGTTGAGCATTTGAAAGCTTATCTCAATGAGCTGGATCAGGTGAATACATATAATATAATGTTACTAACTAGAATATTAAAAAAATACCTGGACATGTTATGTCACCGACTTAGAAATGGAATCTCAGTAAATATTATTCAGAAACTTTAAGATGGCACTCACTAGCTGGCCTTCACATGGTGCACAGGACCAGCAATCCACAATGTTAAAACAATGCTGAACAAAACCATTAAGAAGTTTTAGAACATGAATTACCAGGTGAACTGGAATTTTAGATGTGAATTCTTCCATTTTGACTATTTTGGCCTTAAATTTGAATTTCACTGTGAACTCTCACTTTAGTA